TTTATATTTGTCCCACAATTCATGTGCATTAGATAGCCCGCAAAATGATATGAGAGTTGCATAAAGATCCCTAATTTTGGCTGGTGACTGGCACTGCACAGCTTCTTCCATGATTTCATCCCAGTGATTATCGTTTTCTAAAAGATGCAGAGCTTCACATGCCTCTCTATAAGTTACGTATTCCTGACCGTTGACAGTTTTAAGGTCTTTATATCCTTTAGGACATCGAAAATGGTGCAGCAGCAATCGTAAACAGAAACATTCAATATTAGTTACATCGACGGTATACACACGACCAGGGGCATCTGATGACTTTACACCGGGCCAATTTGCAACAAGCGCGCCTTGAATACGGCATTTCAGTGGAAATGCCGTATTCAAGGCCTAAAGGAGTGCCTTGATAGATGTGTTTCAAGTATAATAGCGGGGGACTTCAGAATATAACAACGTTTTTGCAAAGGGGTCGGTTTGACAAAGTTGAAAGAAGGCTGTTAGTGTAGTTTTTGGCGGTGATGCAAATCTTTCTTGAAAATTATATCGGTGAAATATACACGCTCTCCATATTCTAAGTGCACAGCAAGGTGAGTAACTGTTGGGTGCTTTTCGTGTAAAGGAAAGCCAAGTAGACGCCACGCTGCGTCGTTACTGCTGACATAACGCCCTGCTTGAAAGGTCTGTACTTCATTAACGGGATTTGCCTCACCTTCACTCCTGAGATTAAATATTGCTTGGTCGCTTCCTTTATTTATGTACTTACAGATATACTTGATTGCGCGGACAGAGCTACATGTTACTACATTAATGTGGACATTAAACATTTTACATAGAATGGGCGAATACGGGACAATCAACAGCTGTTATCTAAGGTTTCGAACGCTTCAGAACGAGATTTGATTGTAACTTTCCTGCCAGCTGGGAGCTCTATGTCTGTGTAAAGGGTAGCCATTGTCATTGTGCACTGTTTGTTTTAATAGCTGTTTAGGGAATTTCTTTTTACATTTTCCTTCTTTCATACATGGCGACATTAAATTTCGTGCTCCACATGGACCGTGAATCATATTTCGGAAGATGGTATCATACAATTCTTTATCTTGCTCAGGCTGGGCTGCAACTTCTCTTTAAGCCATATTAGAATGTGGGCATGAGGTAATCCTCTTTTTTGCCATTAAATTGAATACTTGAAGCAATGCACCTCTCCGAAAATTTTCCCTTTGTTAATTACATACATTAATTTTTGGACTTTTAATCTAAATACTCTAGGAACTAAATGTGTCTGTAGTATTTTTTGGCCCTGCATTAGCTCCTCGGTTATTTCTTTCCATGTGGAATTGCAAGTAAAAGTAACAAAAAGATAAGGTCTTCCGTAAGTTCGTACATAGGCGAATGTGTCTTGTGTGTACTCATCTAGGTAGCGGGGACTGTTAACGAATGATGAGGGCAGAATTACCATTTTACCTAAATCTCTGGAGTTTACATTGGCGTCGCTAGAAACTGCAACTTGTAAATGTATATAATTCTCAACGCGCAGCTTTTTTTGATTTAAAGATATATAACGGAAATGTTCACTTTCTACCTTCACATACATTTCTACCAAAAATTGATGAAATAATTGTCTACACCTCTAAAACGGTGTTACAAAAGATAGAAATCTCTCAACGTGCTATACTCAAAGTTGCAACATTTAAACCTTTTCTTTATCCTACATCACAGTTTTATGATAACTGTCAGGTCCTTACAGTAAGACAACTGTTTATATTAACTATCATTCAGAAACAACATAACTTATTAGTATACAACCGATCGAACTTAAATAAACGCAGGAAATTTTCCGTAGATACAACTAATTTTAAAACAACTTTTATAAGAAAATTCTTTGCATTTTTGGGACCACACTTATATAATAAACTAAATAAAACATTGGACATTTACCACCTTAATAAAATAAATTGTAAAAAAAACTGTACATAATTAACCTACACTACTAACCTACAAAAATTAACTTAAAAACCTACAATATTAACCTACAAAAATTAACTTATAATGAAACTAAAAACCTGCTTAGTATTCAGACTTAAAAATAAATTCTTATATAACTGTCATCTGTAATACTACCCGTATAAAATCGTAATAACTAGACACACACACAAGCATGTGTGCAAACACACACACACACACACACACCACACACACACACACACACACGCGCGCGACATACATTTTACACGCTCCTCTCCCATGACTGCTCACACACATTACACTCATAACACAATTACTTCTTACAGTCATACATTACACATCCTATGAGAGAGGAACGGCATTAGTAGTATAAATTATTATTTTGTTTCTACCTTGGTATTAGTAATAAGTGGTAACATAGTATATAAACATAATATGTGATACTATTAATTTCATTGTACTTAGGTTATATTAGCGGAATGTACAAAATTTTAGATAGTATTTGATTATTTAACTTTTGCTTGCATCCTAATATTTCTATAAATTAACGGTGAGGATATGGCGCTGACAGCTGATGCACAGGCCTCCTAGTTCGGCTGCAGATGCTATGTTTTCAAGTATATGTACTAATGTAACTTTATTAAATAATGTTATGCAAATATCGTGATGTACAACCTTTTGGAAATAAAGAACTTATTATTATTATTATGTGGGGTATTTATATAGTTTTCTCAACTGGTTGGTTTCTATAAACATATAATTATAAATTAAAATGAAAAGATAAATATACATAAATATCAATAAAATAAAATAAATACAAAAAATACACAAATAAATAAAGATCCAACCAGATGGAAGCCCTCGGCAGGGGAGACCAAACGGCCTAGGGTTAGGGGGAAAGGGAAAGAAACCGACGGACGATGCGGGCGGTATCGAGGACCACTGCCTTCTGCATTTGAGCCCGGAGCGGTCCGTCACGGAGTCCCAGTCGCCTCAGATGACCCGAGAGGCTGACTGGGATTAGCCCATTCGCAGAGACGACTACAGGAATAATTTCGGTCGGCCAACCACCTCCACATGTCGGTCACCTCGTGAGCCAGGTCCAGATATTTTGTTCGCTTATCTGTTTCAGCTTTCACGAGGTTCTCGTCATACGGAATGGTAATGTCGACCAAAAATATCCTTGACTGTGCCCGTTCCATCAGCACAATATCAGGCTTATTCGCAAGAATAGTCCTGTCTGTGATGATGGCCCGGTCCCAGTAGAGCCTGGCGCGGTCATTTTCGAGCACGGCTTCCGGCAAGTACTTGTAATACGGCAATTTCCGGTCCACGAGACCGTATTTCAGAGCGAGCTCCTGGTGTAGAATTCTGGCTACTAGGTTGTGCCTGTGCAAGTACTCAGAGTTAGAAAGCACCGAACAACCGGAGATGACATGCCTAAGGGACTCCCCGGGATGGCGACAAGCTCGACAGATGTCGACGGTGCCATCCTTTAGGATGTATCTCCGATAGTTGTTGGTCTTAATAACCTGATCCTGTATTGCACCGACAAAACCCTCGGTTTCCCCGAAGAGGTCAACGAAACGTAGCCAGTTGAGGAAGGCGACTGTATCTACGAAGGGCTCATGTAGAGCCCTGTAGTACCTCCCGTGGAGCTCCTTCTCCTTCCATACGGTCTCCAGGTCGGAAATGCTAAGCACTGCTGGGTCCTGCCATTGCTCGTTGGCCAAGGATAGAGGGGTAAGCCCTTTATCACTAAAAATAACGTCATTATAGAATGGATCATCCGATCTCGCCAGGAAGTAATGACAGAGGCTGCACACTTCACGATTATGTATAGTGAGCGCGCTCAGAAAGCCACGCCCACCATATTTTCGCGGCAAGTACAGCCTCATTACCGACGATCTCGGATGATGCATCCTATGGGACGTCATGGTAGTGCGGACTTTTCTATCCAGGGCGTTAAGTTCAGTCTGAGTCCACCTGAGTATGCCAAAGGTATACATAAGGACAGGTATGACCCAACCGTTATATGCGTGTGTCTTATTCACACCGGACAAAATGCTATTAAGCACTTTGGTGAAGCGTGCATAAAACACGTCGCAAACTGACTGTTTCATACCAGCCTCAACGATACCGATGTTCTGTGACATACCCAGGTATCGGTATGTTTCAGCCTCGGAAAGGGTCCTTAAGTTGACTGGCATAGATAAATCTATGCCCTCAGAGTTAGCAACCCTTCCCTCTCAACATGGAGGACCGCACACTTATCCGTCCCCAGCTCCATTCCAATTGAACTACTAAACTCACAAGCGATTTTTAGCAATTCCATAAGATGGGAGCGACTGGAGGCGAATAACTTAAGGTCATCCATATAGAAAAGGTGAGTCACTTTTGTCCCTCCTTTCCGTAGCTGAAATCCTCTCCCGGATCCCTCCAGTAAGGTACTGAGAGGGTTCAGGGAGAGGCAGAACCAGATTGGACTCAGATAATCGCCCTGGAAGATACCCCTTCTTATCCTTATGTGGTTCTCCGCAGCCATCATCCGCTCACCCAGATGACAAAGGATCGTACTCCACTGCCCCATACACTGCTCGAGGAAGTCTCTCACTGTACAGTCTATCTTGTACAGCTCGAGGACTCTCTTTAGCCACGTATGGGGCACCGAGACGAATGCCTTTCTGTAGTCTATCCAGACGGCGGAGAAGTTCCGACGGTTGCGTTTCACAACTTTGCCAATGACCGCGTCAATGAGGAGTGGTTCTTTAGTTCCACGACCACCGCCCCGACATCCATTTTGAGCGCGTGACATTATCTGATTTAGCTCCAGGTGACGAGTGATTCTCGCGCTCAAAATGGATGTCAGTGTCTTATATATGGTGGGTAGACACGTAATGGGGCGGTATTTGCTCGGGTATGTGGTAACCTGGTCTTTAGGAATCAAATGATGATCCCAGTAGTGAAGAGGCTAGGGAGCGACTTCTGGTTGAGAGCCTCTTGAAACTGACGGGCGAGCACAGCGTGACACACCATGAACCCCTTCAGCCAGTAGTGATGCAGCCCGTCAAGATCCCCGGACTTTTCCAGTTCGGGGCTCTACGGACCGCCTCAGCTACGTCATCCGGCGTTATGATGACGGGGTCCATGGGCGTAATACTCGCACCCTGACTCGCCACAACTTCCGTCCAAGGGCCCTCGCTGTGGTTTACGGGCTCTGACCACAGGCCACGCCAAAATGCGACAGTGTTAGCTTTGTAGAGCCTCTTCTGATCACTCTGGAAGAGACGATTCTGGTTGAACCGCCTTGACCTCTCGGTAAATCGGCGAATCCGCTTCCCCCAAGCAGCAATCTTTTGCTTCAGGTCGTCTATGCGCTCCGTTAGTTTCTGCGTGATATCCGGCTGGGACAAACTGATATTTGTCCCAGCAAACGCCATTCTAACGGTGCGCACAACCCTCGGTCTATTATTACCCGACCTGAAGCTTATCAGTCTGCCGATAAGGGCCCTTGCCTTTACGATACGGTCCTCAATTCTTTTTCTCCAGGCTGGGATGGCGCTACTTTGTTTAGTAGCGCGTCCAGCCATGGGAAGTTTGGCGCCAATAATACGGCAAGCTGCCACTGCGGCGCCAAAAAGAACTGAGTCCGTCTCGCAAAGGTCCCGGCTGGCTTCCAAATAGGTTACCAGCATTGGGTTAAGAGCCCTCACGACAGCCCGATTTCGCTTGCTTAGGGGTATGCGGGGGAAGTCGCGGTCGATTTTTGAGAGGCATGCTGCGCGTTTCCAAAATCGCCTCTTCCAATATACTCCTTATTTGCTCTAGTTCGTGGGAGACCATTTCATCATCGTCTGAATCAACCACAACTGGAAGATCCATGGCGGCTTCTGGCAGCTGGTCTGTACCGCCTGAGGAGCCTCATCCCCAGCTGTAGCCAATTCATTCGATGAGGGAATGGCCTCACGTCGTAGTCGTTCGAGCTCGGCATCATCGAATATTTTCGAGCACATGATGTACCGAACTCGGTCTGCCAGGTTTTGTTCCGTGACAGGAATAGACGGCTCCAGCTCAGCAAAAAAGCAATGCATCCGAGCCCGATACGCTATCCCCGCAGTTTCTTCCCCTTTCGCCCTATAGTACGCCCGCAATGCGTTTGCGTTCATATCCCTTGTCCAACGCATGCGGCGTACTCCACCAGCAGCGGATGCCGCTTGCCGAGTCCGAGAGGACCCTGCCGACATCAAGCCGTCTGGTGGGGATGATGGATGCGGGGGGCTGTTAGGTGATCTTGCAGCTCCTCGCGCTCGGCTGGCGGCCCGCATTCTGCCGCGTCCAGCGCCAGCTCCAGACGCGCCCCGGCGACCCCCAGGCAGCGGCCCTATACGTTTTCCAATCATATCCATCATCCATTTTTGGGCGCCAATTAACGGGAGACGCCCAGGCCCGGCACCGTTTCATTGTATCATTGTACGGCTGTAAGCACAAACGGGCCTTTGCACCCTGAGTACTTCCGAGGCACGGCGCGCACACCTCTTGGCAAGGCGCTGACTGACTGCACCGACGTAGCAGTTTTGTCACTTAACTGTTTCGTCGGCGGGCGATGGGGTCGTCACTTCCCTACGCCTTTTATTTATTTATTATTATTGTGGGGTATCTACATAGTTTTCTCATCTGGTTGGGTTCTATAAATATATAATTATAAATGAGAATGAAAAGATAAATATATATAAATATCAACAACATAAAATAAATATAAAATACTTAAATAAATAAAAGCCCAACCAGATGGAGGCCCTCGGCAGGGGAGACCAAACGGCCGAAGGTTAGGGGGAAAGAGAAAGAAACCGGCGGATGATGCGGGCGGTATCGAGGAGCACCGCCTTCTGCATTTGAGCCCGGAGCGGTCCGCCACGTAGTCCCAGTCGCCTCAGATGTACCCGAGAGGCTGACTGGGATTAGCCCGTTTGCAGAGACGACTACAGGAATAATTTCGGTCGGCCAACCACCCCACATGTCGGTCACCTCGTGAGCCAGGTCCAGATATTTTGTTTGCTTGTCTGTTTCGGCTTTCACGAGGCTCTCGTCATACGGAATGGTAATGTCGACCAAAAATATCCTTGACTGTGCCCGTTCCATCAGCACAATATCAGGCTTATTCGCAAGAATAGTCCTGTCTGTGATGATAGCCCGGTCCCAGTAGAGCCTGGCGCTGTCATTTTCGAGCACGGCTTCCGGCAAGTACTTGTAATACGGCAATTTCCGGTCCACGAGACCGTATTTCAGAGCGAGCTCCTGGTGTAGAATTCTGGCTACTAGATTGTGCCTGTGCAAGTACTCAGAGTTAGAAAGCGCCGAACAACCGGAGATGACATGCCTAAGTGACTCACCGGAATGGCGACAAGCTCGACAGACGTCGACGGTGCCATCCTTTAGGATGTATCTCCGATAGTTGTTGGTCTTAATAACCTGATCCTGTATTGCACAGACAAAACCCTCGGTTTCCCCGAAGAGGTCACCGAAACGTAGCCAGTTGAGAGAGGCGACTGTATCTACGAAGGGCTCATGAAGAGCCCTGTAGTACCTCCCGTGGAGCTCCTTCTACTTCCATACGGTCTCCCGGTCGGAAATGCTAAGCACTGCTGGGTCCTGCCATTGCTCGTGGGCTAAGGATAGAGGGGTAAGCCCTTTATCACTAGAAATGACGTCATTATAGAATGGATCATCCGATCTCGCCAGGAAGTAATCACGGAGGCTGCACACTTCGCGATTATGCATGGTGAGCGCGCTCAGAAAACCACGCCCACCATGCTTTCGCGGCAAGTACAGCCTCATTATCGACGATCTCGGATGATGTATCCTATGGGACGTCATGGTAGTGCGGACTTTTCTATCCAGGGCGTTAAGTTCGGTCTGAGTCCACCTGAGTATGCCAAAGGTATATATGAGGACAGGCGTGACCCAACCGTCATATACGTGTGTCTTATTCACACCGCACAAAAGGCTGTTAAGCACTTTGGTCAAGCGTGCATAAAACACGTCGCAAACTGACTGTTTCATACCAGCCTCATCGATACCGATGTTCTGTGACATACCCAGGTATCGGTATGTTTCAGCCTCGGAAAGGGTCCTTAAGTTGACGGGCATAGACTTAGTCTATGCCGCTCAGAGTTAGCAAACCCTTCCCCTTTCAACATCAAGGACCGCACACTTATCCGTCCCCAGCTCCATTCCAATGGAATTGCTAAATTCACAAGTGATGTTTAGCAATACCATAAGATGGGAGCGACTGGAGGTGAATAACTTGAGGTCATCCATATAGAAAAGGTGGGTCACTTTTTGTCCCTCCTTTCTGTCTGAAATCCCCTCCCGGAGCCCTCCAATAAGGTACTGAGAGGGATCAGAGAGAGGCAGAACCAGATTGGACTCAGACAATCGCCCTGGAAGATACCCCTTCTTATCCTTATGTGGTTCTCCGCAGCCATCATCCGCTCGCCCTGATAACAGAGGATCGTACTCCACTGCCCCATACACTGCTCGAGGAAGTCTCTAACTGTACAGTCAATCCTGTACAGCTCGAGGACCCTCTTTAGCCATGCATGGGGCACCGAGTCGAATGCTTTTCTGTAGTCTATCCAGGCGGCGGAGAAGTTCCGACGGTTGCGTTTCACCACTTTGCCAATGACCGCGTCAATGAGGAGTGGTTCCTTGGTTCCACGACCACCGCCCCGATATCCATTTTGAGCGCGTGACATCACCTGATTTAGCTCCAGGTGACGAGTGATTCTCGCGCTCAAAATGGATGTCAGTGTCTTATATATAGTGGGTAGACACGTGATGGGGCAGTATTTGCTCGGGTCTGTGGTATCCTGATCGTTAGGAACCAAGTGAGTGATCCCAGTAGTGAAGAGGCTCGGGAGCGACTTCTGATCGAGAGCCTCTTGATACTGTCGGGCGAGCACAGCGTGACACACTACGAACCCCTTCAGCCAGTAATGATGCAGCCCGTCGAGCCCCGGACTTTTCCAGTTCGGGGCCCTACGGACCGCCTCAGCCACTTCTTCAGGCGTTATGGTGACGGGGTCCATAGGCGTAACACTTGCACTCTGGCTCGCCACAACTTCCATCCAAGGGCCCTCGCTGTGGTTTACGGGCTCTGACCACAGGCCACGCCAAAATGCGACAGTGTCAGCCTGATCCGGTCCTGGGCCCGCTCCACATACCTCTGGTCGCTCCAATGATTTATAGAGCCTCTTCTCATCACTCTGGAAGAGACGATTTTGGTTGAACCGCCTTGCCCTCTCGCTAAATCGTCGAATCCGCTTCCCCCAAGCAGCGATTTTTTGCTTCAGGTCATCTATACGCTCCGTTAGTTTCTGCGTGATATCCGGCTGGGACAAACTAATATTTGTCCCAGCAAACGCCATTCTAATGGTGCGCACAACTCTCGGTCTAATATTACCCGACCTGAACCTTGTCAGTCTGCCGATAAGGGCCCTTGCCTTTGCGATACGGTCCTCGATTCTTTTTCTCCAGGCTGGGATGGCACTACCTTGTTGAGTAACACGTCCAGCCATGGGAAGTTTGGCGCCAATAATACGGCATACTGCCAGTGCAGCGCCAAAAATAATTGAGTCCGTCTCGCAAAGGTCCCGGCTGGCTTCCAAATAGGTCACCAGCATTGGGTTAAGAGCCCGCACGACAGCCCGATTTCGCTTGCTAAGGGGTATGCGGGGGAAGTCGCGGTCGATTTTCGAGAGGCATACTGCGCGTTTCCAGCATCGACTCTTCCAATATGCTCCTCCTTTTCTCTAGTTCGTGGGGGACTATTCCATCATCGTCTGAATCAACCACAAATGGAATATTGACGGCATCGTCCACATTTGCAGTTTGCTGCGCAATTAGTGGCGCCGCATTCCCAGCCGTAGCATTTCCATCCGATGAGGGAACAGCCTCACGTCGTAGTCGTTCGAGTTCGGCGTCACTAAATATGTTGGAGCGCAGGATGTACCGAACTCGGTCTGCCAGGTTTTGCTCAGTGACGGATAGAGATGGCTCCAGCTCTGCAAAAAAGCGATGCATCCGAGCCCGATATGCCAAACATCCAGTTTCTTCCACTTTTGCAACCCCCCCACGCAAAGGCTTTCCACACCCAACAGCCCCCCCCCAACAACGACCCCCCATTTTATTATTATTATTATTATTACACCGGGCTAAGAGGTTAAAATCATTTTCTCGCAACATCATATGATACGCATAAAAATCGATACATGATATTTAGGCTCCTTTGTGACAGGGTTAATGAGTGGAATTTGAAAATGATAACCCTCTTGTCCTTTGCAATAAATCAATGGGTATTGCAGATCGTCATAAAACTTGAGCGTATCGGCTACCCGTTGCAACGTATCATCATGTGCTCGCAAGACAATGTCTCGTGAAGAAAATTGATCACCACTAATTACGGCTGCTATTTCGTTTATCAAAGGTGCATTGTAGCGCCTTTCATGCTCTCCTCGGGGGGTCTGATCTGCGTGAGTGACGACTTTATAATCATCTTCAGGTAGGTTTTCTAAAGCAGTTTTAAATGTTTTGACTAAAATGTTACGTTCATGCAAGAATCTTTGAATTTTGAACACTGTGTCTCTCTCAACTCCCTGGATAAATTGACAGCGACGGTCTACCTCAATTTCTTCGTCACCAATAAAATATACTTGTAAAAATTTATGCTGTTCATTTTCAGCTGGAGAAAGGGAACCAATTCTATAATAAATTTGCCCTTGCACCGTAAATGTAGGCGAAAATCCCGGAATTATTATTTCCCGAAGGACGTCATTTGAAAGCATGAGTTATGTTTCCGGATCCTGTTTAAAAAGCGCCGTGACTCATTAGCATCATATAAAAAGGGAGTTTTCAAAGGTTCTTCTGGTTTACCAAGTAATGGAAGAGACAAATTGCTATTGGAACTGCACATGCCTGCGGTCTCATCTTTCCATTTTAAAGCGCTGCAAAATTGACACACCTTGTCCATCAGTCCGATAACAACTAACCTGTGATTTTTATAATCAATCAACGGATCATAATTGAGTGCTGCGTCATTAAAAACCGACCAATTGTTTCTTTGAAAATTTTGTCGTCATTCAGCTTGGAGCTGTGCACTTGCATCTCTTAGCGCCTGTGTCTGTTCTGGTGTTTCGGATGCCCTTATAGTAGATTGGCGTTCAGCTTTCTCAAAGAGTCTGTGTTGAGTTTCATCAGGTTTTTCCGCGGCTTTTAAGGCGGCCTGAGGTTCCGCTTGTTCGAATAGCCTTTGCCGACTTTGAGCAGGTGTTTTAGTAGCTCTTAAAGTATATTGACGCTCTGCCTGTTAAAGACGCCTTTGCTGACTTTGATCAGGTGTTTCAGTAGCTTTTAAAGTAGCTTAACGCTCTGCCTGTTCAAGACGCCTTCGCTGACTTTGAGCAGGTGTTTCAGTAGCTCTTAAAGTAGCTTGACGCTCTGCCTGTTCAAGACGCCTTTGCTGACCTTGAGCAGGTGTTTCAGTAGCTCTTAAATTAGCTTGACTCTCTGCCTGTTCAAGACGCCTTCGCTGACTTTGATAAGGTGTTTCAGAAGCTCTTAAAGTAGCCTGACGCTCTGTCTGTTCAAGACGCCTTTGCTGACGTTGAGAAGGTGTCTCAGATGCTCTAAAAGCAGCCTGACGCTCTGCTTATTCTTGCCTTCTCAGTTCAGCATCTTCTAAAGATTGTATCGATCGAGCTAATATTTTCGCTTGTCTTTGAGAAGATACTCTTGAAAGGCTGGACTTACGTTCGCGAGGCATTATGATGTAACAAAAAACCTATTTGTAAAGAAAACGTTAAAATACCTAAAAGGAATTAAATTTCCTTTTAAATATTTTTTTAAAAGCTAATCCAAAATATCTAAAAGGAATAAATATTCCTTTTAAATATTTTTAAAATAAAACAACAAAACCAATTCAAGACACAACACGAATCCGAAAACGATAGCCAAAAAAAATGGAATTAACTTAAACCAAATCACGAAACAAATCGCAGAAAACCGAAATCGAAAGCAGTAGTCAATATAAATATAACCAACGAAAAAAGAAGTAAGTGTATAGGTACCGTATACACTATCTATACTATTAATATTCCTTTGAAATATTGTTAAACAACCTAAAACAACGAAAACCAATTCACGATTCTAAGAAAAAAAAAAACAAAATCCAAAATCAAAGCCAGAGTCTAAATATGTATAAAGGAATACCAACCAAATCAACAAAACTGATCCAAGAAAATAAACAAATCCGAAAATGAAAGCCAATATAAATCCCTTCAACCTTAACCAAATCACAAAGCAAATAACAAACAATCGAAATCGAAAACAGGTAGTCGAATAAGCTACAAAATAGAAACAATTTAAGCGTATAGGTACCGTATGCACTATAAGTTGACGCGCAGCTCAACGGCGTTTAAAAAAAAACTAGTAACGACATCTAGCGGAATCAATTTAAACCATGTATACGTTAGTTAATAAGAACCTTCAAATAATATTTTTCTTATAATTTTGCACAATTTTTCTTATTGTAATACCCACCACTATTCATTTCCGTTCAATAAATATTACTAAGGCTTATTAATAAGGCTTACTAAGAACTGTTTCTACCACAGTTAAGTAATAGTTAAGGGTGAAAGCGTGACAGGTGGTGATGGTATTTCTGAGCCTTACTTATTATCACGCCTGTAACCCTTGCGGGGTAGGCAGAGCATCAATGGATTATTTAATATCGTCTGCGAGGTTATCGCCTATTCTGTGAATTACAATGCACCAAAACGTTTGAAGAAAATCAACTGGTGAATTTTATGTTTTTTATCGCTCTCTTCTCGGTCCTGCGTGGAAAAATACAGATCCATACATTTTTTATCTTAATTTTGGTAAAAAGACATAATAATCCAGATATTCTGACCTTCTGTGCTCGTCTATCATATCGTCGTCCGTCTTGTAGAATCACGGTGGCGCCACCTAGCTGAATTTAATTCTGCAACATATTCGAGTTTCCCACGGGAATGAGATGTTTTTCCGCGGAAAAAAGTAGCCTATGTCACTCTACAGCCACCGAACTATTCCCATACCAAAATTCATGCCATGCCGACACTCTGTTACGACGTGAAAGAAGGACAAACTTTTGCAACATATTCTATTTTCCCACGGGAATGAGATGTTTTTCCGCGGAAAAAAGTAACCTATGTCACTCTACAGCCACCGAACTATCCCCATACAAATAATCATGCCACGCCGACTCTCTGTTGTAACGTGAAAGAAGGACAAACAAAAAAACAAACAAGCACACGCATTTATAATATTAGTATGGATTTTTGACTTTATAAAAAGAGTTAATACGTATCAAATAATAAAGCTAATGATCATATGGTTAACAATAAACTCGGGGGATGTGATCGTTTCTAAGCGTGATGTGAATAATTGTACAACGTATTTTATAATATTATATAATTTTACCATAGAAACAAAAGGGTTTCTTGCTGGTTCATCTCAGAACAGGCTTATTCCCGAACCAGTGGTAAAAGTACAAAATTAATTTCAATAAAAAAATATTTTATCCTAGTTTCTTCTATTCCTGGTTTCCAGTACGCATTAGTATTTTATTACGTTATAATCCGAAAAAAGTGTGTAGTGTTCGTATTAATATAAGAAATCATTATGTACAATTGAATCAAGTATTGAAACATGTTACAAATTGGCTGACACATCACAACCTAGAGTTTAATTTTAATAAAACCACCAAATTTATGCAATTCCGACCAGCTCAAAAATCACCAATAAATATCGCTTTTACTTATAGCAATATACCTATAGGAACTGTTGACAACTTCAACTTGTTAAGCTTGGAAATCGACTGCCATATAAAGTGGAAAGCCCATATAAATAAAGTAAAAAATAGGCTATCAAAGTTCACTTAAATATTACGAGAAATAAAGAGAACCACAGATGTCCCCAGCGCTCTGTCGGCATATTACGCATACACATCTTCGTGACTGTCATACGGTGTCATGTTGTGGGGAAATAGAAAAGATGCACAGCAATTATTTATAATGCAAAAAAAAAAAATTAGAAGAATCTTGGCAAACATAAAAATTCCAGAAAGTTGTAAGCCCCACTTTAAAAAGTTTAAAATTTTGACTTTGACGTCTATTTATATTTGGGAAACAAACAAAATTGTAAAAAACCACCCAGAACTATTCACCGAATTAAGTGAAACAAATTACAAATACTTAATTAGACCAAATAAAAATAGGCTACTATTGCGAAAATTTACACCATCATTACATAGCTCTAATTCCTACTGTATGACAGTAAAATTTTTTAATAACCTTACAAATAACATAAAAAATCTAACGAATACTGTATTATTTTTATCCAAATTAAAGTTATATTTGATTGAAAAATTTTTCTATAATTTAAATGAATATTTTGATACAAATATTATTTAATTTGTTTGGACAACTTGGCCTGTGCCTATCTAATTTAATTTTAATTATTATTGTTTATTTAATTTAATTTTTACTTATAATAATAATAATTATTATTTTACTTGACATTGTGATTATTAATTTAATTAAATTTACGGAATTTTAAAATAATATAATATAATTTAATAACGTAATTTAAAAATGAAATCTAATTGCTACGCCCAAACTGAGTTCAAATGCGGACTATTTTTTTTTAAAACATCTCATCTATTGTTACCATTTGATTGCAATAAAGATTATGATTATGATTACATACCTTATGTAAAATCTATCAAACTCTACGTGCCAAGGAAATAGACGTACTTAAAAAAATATAATATATATACACACACTCAAATAACCCTCTTTTTATGTAGTCGTGTAAAAAAGAACACAGAATACATTTCAACCAATAAGTCTGATATAGTTAAACATTCTCTGTTAGGGATTTGATTTTGTAGCTATCTATTGTGTGGCGTAAAGCTTGCAGGATTCTCTTGAATTGTTTTCTAATAACAATAAGAGCGACTAAAAGTCAAAGAATAATATCTAATT